TTTGAATGCAGGACTTTTACTGTAACAGAGTATTCCTACACTCTGGTACTTCTACTTTTACTCAAGTACAAGATCTGAGTACTTCTACTTTTACTCAAGTACAAGACCTGAGTACTTCTACTCTTACTACATGATCTGAGTACTTCTACTTTTACTCAAGTACAAGATCTGAGTACTTCTACTTTTACTACAAGATCTGAGTACTTCTACTTTTACTCAAGTACAAGATCTGAGTACTTCTACTTTTACTCAAGTACAAGATCTGAGTACTTCTACTTTTACTCAAGTACAAGACCTGAGTACTTCTACTTTTACTACAAGATCTGAGTACTTATACTTTTACTCAAGTACAAGATCTGAGTACTTATACTTTTACTACAAGATCTGAGTACTTCTACTTTTACTCAAGTACAAGACCTGAGTACTTCTACTTTTACTACAAGATCTGAGTACTTCTACTTTTACTCAAGTACAAGATCTGAGTACTTCTACTTTTACTACAAGATCTGAGCACTTCTACTTTTACTACAAGATCTGAGTACTTATACTTTTACTCAAGTACAAGATCTGAGTACTTCTACTTTTACTCAAGAACAAGATCTGAGTACTTCTACTTTTACTGAAGTAAAATATCTGAGTACTTCTACTTTTACAAGTACAAGATCTGAGTACTTCTACTTTTACTCAAGTACAAGATCTGAGTACTTCTACTTTTACTCAAGAACAAGACCTGAGTACTTCTACTTTTACTCAAGTACAAGATCTGAGTACTTCTACTTTTACTCAAGTACATGATCTGAGTACTTCTACTTTTACAAGTACAAGATCTGAGTACTTCTACTTTTACTCAAGTACAAGATCTGAGTACTTCTACTTTTACTCAAGAACAAGACCTGAGTACTTATTATTTTACTCAAGTACAAGATCTGAATACTTCTACTTTTACTCAAGTACAAGATCTGAGTACTTCTACTTTTACAAGTACAAGATCTGAGTACTTCTACTTTTACTCAAGTACAAGATCTGAGTACTTCTACTTTTACTCAAGTACAAGATCTTAGTACTTCTACTTTTACAAGTAAGATCTGAGTACTTCTACTTCTACTCAAGTACAAGATCTGAGTACTTCTACTTTTACTCAAGTACAAGATCTTAGTACTTCTACTTTTACAAGTAAGATCTGAGTACTTCTACTTCTACTCAAGTACAAGATCTGAGTAATTCTACTTTTACTCAAGTACAAGATCTGAGTACTTCTACTTTTACTCAAGTACAAGATCTGAATACTTCTACTTTTACTACAAGATCTGAGTACTTCTACTTTTACTCAAGTACAAGATCTGAGTAATTCTACTTTTACAAGTACAAGATCTGAGTACTTCTACTTTTACTCAAGTACAAGATCTGAATACTTCTACTTTTACTATAAGATCTGAGTACTTCTACTTTTACTCAAGTACAAGATCTGAGTACTTCTACTTTTACTCAAGTACAAGATCTTAGTACTTCTACTTTTACAAGTAAGATCTGAGTACTTCTACTTCTACTCAAGTACAAGATCTGAGTACTTCTACTTTTACTCAAGTACAAGATCTTAGTACTTCTACTTTTACAAGTAAGATCTGAGTACTTCTACTTCTACTCAAGTACAAGATCTGAGTAATTCTACTTTTACTCAAGTACAAGATCTGAGTACTTCTACTTTTACTCAAGTACAAGATCTGAATACTTCTACTTTTACTACAAGATCTGAGTACTTCTACTTTTACTCAAGTACAAGATCTGAGTAATTCTACTTTTACAAGTACAAGATCTGAGTACTTCTACTTTTACTCAAGTACAAGATCTGAATACTTCTACTTTTACTACAAGATCTGAGTACTTCTATTTTTACACAAGTCCAATATTTAGTTAACACTAGTTTGTAATGTATGAGTTCTGCAGAATAAAGTGATCTGTGTTTTTTCTTCAGAGTAAAGCCCCCCCCCCCCCCCCCAACACCCCCCCCCCCCCCCCCCCTCTTCCTATAATGTTTGTTCTCACCTATGATGATGGTGCATGCACTCAGCAGCCCGATCTCCTTCTTCAGAGTCACCCTGTCCGGGATCTCCTTCTTCTTCTCCTCATGTTTCTTCTTCTTCTTCTCCCCGGGGGTGCAGACGGGTCCCTCCATGTCCTCCTGGTCCTCCCTGTGCTGCTGTCCTCTCCTCGCTCCGTATTCATGCACGGTCAATGGGCTGCGCATGCGCAACAACCTGCTTGCTGTCCGGGGCAGAATGTTAAATACCCTGCACTCTCCGTGAGGCGTTCAGGGACCCCGGGAGGAACCTGCTCTCCCCCCTTCTCTCCCCCTGTGTTTTTACAGCTCCAAAACAATTAGAAGAATACAAACGCTGTAAAAACAAATAGCTGATAAGTACACCTTGGTTTAAAAAAACGTATAGCAGTATATTTTGTGTGTAAATGAATACCAGAGGTGGGAAGTAGCTAAGTAGATTTACTCTGTACTTAAGTACACTTAGTTTAAAGGTACTTGTACTTTACTTGAGTATTTCCATTTTATGGGTCATCCCAGAATTGGAGGACAATTTAGACACCAACATTTTTGAAAAATGAACCTTTTATTTTATAATTTGTTTTAATGTATTTAGGAAAAACAGATAATAAACCATAAAAAAAGTGATTTGCCCAGCTAGGCATCACATGTATATTTTCTAGGGCTGTCAGTCGATTAAAATAGTTAATCGCGATTAATCGCAAATTAATCGCACATTTTTGATCTGTTCTAAATGTACCTTAGAGGAATATTTTTCAAGTTTTTAATACTCTTATCAACATATGAGTGGACAAATATGCTTTATGCTAATGTTTATTATCATTTGAACAATGACAAATATTCTCATGAATATTAAACACAACAACTTCTGAACATTACAAATATTCGCCTCAATTCAACCTGGAACCTCTCTCATACAATAATACAAATGGTGTGTGTGTGTGTGTGTGTGTGTGTGTGTGTGTGTGTGTGTGTGTGTGTGTGTGTGTGTGTGTGTGTGTGTGTGTGTGTGTGTGTGTGTGTGTGTGTGTGTGTGTGTGTGTGTGTGTGTGTGTGTGTGTGTGTGTGTGTGTGTGTGTGTGATGGATCGTTGGAGCTATGTGCAACTCAAGGCATATGCTCGAACGGGAGCTGCCTGGACGCTGCAATCATGTTGCGCACTATCCGTGCTGAGTGTGCTGACTTCTCGTACAATGTCCCACTGTCTGGCTTCCTGCATAAAGTCAAGTGCTCGGCGCAGTTGTGGCGAAATGTCGCTCCTCTGTTTTCATTTAAACAGCTCCTTATATCCGTTAGCGCCGCTAGCTAGCACCAGATGCTAACAACAACAATGCACGTAAGGTCTCTCTCTCTCTCGCTCGGGCCACACACACACACACCCTCCCGGTCCTCCCAGTAGCCAGTCGGTGCCTGCCGGTGAGCGTGGAAGTGTGGTCTGCCACAAGCGGGCGGCAGGAGCGGGGCTGTCAGCATCAGCTTGTAGATGGTATTTTAAACTCGATGCACTCTGAAACTACGGGGCGGCCGAGGACAAAAAATACACATGCGTTAATCGCGTTAAAATAATTAGTGGCGTTCATTTTTTTTTGCGTTAACGCGTTATTAACGCGTTAACTTGACAGACCTAATATTTTCCAATGAAGAGTTACCCCTGTTACTCTAATTATAGTAACAGGGTTGAAAATCAATGCTAATTTGAGCTTTAACCTCAGGAAGTATTGCTAGATGTAGCATGTAATGCTACTTTCAAGGCAAGGACAAACTTTATCTAATGCAAGAAAGATAACTTTGAAATGAATATGCTTTATTCTGATAATATGAGTAACAGGGTTGAGTGGGTCAGAGTGCCACACTCTTTTAAGACTGAAAAGATTGTAAAAATATGAAAAATGAAAGAGAGGACTTAGTTGTGGTCTACCCATGGCACTAGCACATGGCTTACTGATGTCACTTCCTGTGTGTCATCTGACCTACAGTTTGTTCACTTCCTGTGCCCATCTTAAAAGGTTTGGGGTTGAACGCATGTTGAGGGACACACCTTCTGTGCAAAATTACTGTTATCTAAAATATGTTTATGATTTTAACAAATTGATTTTACCATTACAAGAGACAGATATCAATAGAATAATACCAACAAAAGTAAATAAAATCCCTTTTTAATTGTTATATTTGACGCAAGTTGGTCACCAAGAAGCGGGGACAAGAGAAAAATGCCATTTTAGGGGATGTTCGAGAGCTATTTGATAATTTAAATAATATTTTGAAACCACTTTTACTACAACTTTATATACATTTAGTCTCAAGACAAGTATGTTTAACACAACAAGTGCATGTTTTAGCATTTTGGGCATGGATTATTAGATTTTTTATATGGGGGACATGAAATGTCCTCCAATTCTGGAATGACCTTTATGCTACGTGGTACTCCTCTACAGTTCAGAGATAAAAGGTGTACTTTTACTCCACTACATGTATTTAATACCTTTAGTTACTGCACAGATCTGGATCAATGATGTGAAATATGATGAATAGGAACATGACATAATATATAAATAAATAAATGCATAAATTAATGTATGAATAAAAACAGGAATACAATTATAACATAATAAATAACCGTGCAAATAAATACAGGACGACAATTCATGAATAAATGCATAATTAAATATGGGAATATTAGTTTATTCAGTAATGAGTACTTTTACTACTAAGTACATTTTCCTAATTGTACTGAAATACTTTAACTTCAGTTCCATTCTTGATGCAGTACTTTGACTTGAAATGGAGTCTTTGTACAGTGTGGTATTACCACTTTAAGTAAACAATCTGAATACTTTTTCCAGCCCTGCCCACAGAGGACTTTGAATGTTTTACTGATGTTTTACTGATTTTTGATTTCCCCCCAGAGAGGAATGCTGCAATGTGGCACTTCCTGTATGAAAGTATTTCTTATCAGAGCAGAGCTAAAGTCGAGTCAAGCCTCTCTATTTCTCCCTGAAGGAACATTAAACTAATCCTGAACACCACAGCAGGATCTCTGCCAAACCCCGGTGAGTACAGAGACGAGACCACCTGAATATCTGCTCAACATTTAGTTTCTAGAATCCAGAGAACAGTGACTCCAGATGAACTCATGCTAAAGCTAACAGGCCTCCTCACATGCTTTCTGTCAGAGTTCCTGCACTTTGTCTTTGCACGGCAGCACAGCTGAGGATATTTACTGCGTTTCAACAACCAGTATTTGCTCTCAACTTCAGACAGGAAGTTCATCTCTGTAACTGAGGTTTGCTGTGGGGGTTCCTGGTTTTAGCTTCCATATTTTCTTCTGCGTATGTGTTTTATTCTCTGCTGTCTCCCTCTCTCTGATTTTCCTTTACTTCCTCTCTGTTAGGAACGTGAAACAGACACTTGGACTCAAATGCACGCCTCAAAAATAAGTTCGCTGTTCAAAAAGGTCTTGACTTGGATAAAGATAAGGTACAAACAAAAAATCACTCATGAGAGTCAAAACGTAGAAAAGCAAACTTCAAACATGGGAACTAAATCAACTTGACTATGAAAACTTGCTTCAAAAGTCTCTTGGTATGAAAAGCTGGCTCTCTTGATGGCACAAGATGAACTGGCACAGGACAAAGGGAGACGAGGACTATATATACAAGAGGTATTGGGACACAGGTGCCAACAATAAAGGGAGGGGCTGACAGTTATGCCCCTTTCACACCAACGCGGTTCCAGGGCCGGTTCGGAGCTAGAGCCTGAAAAGCACCTTTTTTTCCTGTTCACACCGCAGCGGAGCCGGCTCTCAGCTCCGGAATCCGGTTCGTTTCAAGCACCAAAAAATTGTCGGTCTAGAAGCAAGCACCGCATCCGTCATGCTTACGTTGGAGGGGTGCGAGATTAACCTGAGCCAACAGTTTATGGAGAGTACGGCAAATAACAGTTGTAACAAGCAGTAGCGCTGAGCAAAGTGACCAGAACGCAAACACACTTTATAAAGTCAGGCAACACTAACCAGGCTTCGTGTGGTTCTGTTTATTTGTACCTTACTTTGACCATCCGTTCGCTGTCATTGATCATTGGAGAGCAGATGGACGTTTTGTTTTGTATTATAGCAGCTATCGGATGGAACAACCCAGTCTCACGGCATTTCGTGTTATAGTCACGACATTTAATCTATTGATTCGTGTTCACCATCAAGATTTTCCACTTTTTTTCGTGTCACACAGAACGATTTTAAAAGCAATGTATTTCTATTGGTAGTATGTTTCGTGCCTGCAGCACGTCTTTTTGTCCGGTTGGGTCGTGGAAGACCGGAAGCTGTGTTCATAAAAACATGTTCATACTCAATATCAAGCCACGGTTATTGTTTTTATTTTAAACCGTATAATGTCTGACTTTTTTTGCCGTCTGCAAGGAAAATAAATGGCTCAGAGCCTCAGAATACTGAAATCTGTATTTTTTAAATATTTGTTTCCTTCTATTTTGTTATTCTTTTCTAAATAACACACTGTTATTTACTCACCAATAACACACAATTATCCTTGCTTTTATTTATTGGTTTAATTCCATAATCTCTGGCTTTTTTGGCGTCCGTCAGGAACTGAATTTCAAAATAAAAATAACCGGAAACAGACGTATGCATTTCGAGCGATTACCCAAGATCCTCAGCTATGGTTTTAAGCTCGTTTATTGGATGTTTTAGCCGCAATGCATGCTGGGATTTGGTGTTTATATGATATGAAATCCGGAAAACATTTTAAAATAATATCATCAATAGCATGGGGGAGGGGGGTATAGGTATGGGCAGGGTAATAGCAGAAATAAATAAATATAGAATTAGATCTGAATATAAAAAGATGAGAAAAATGTGAGAGGGATATAATAACCATATACCGTAATATTCAAATGTGTGTGTGTGTGTGTGTGTGTGTGTGTGTGTGTGTGTGTGTGTGTGTGTGTGTGTGTGTGTGTGTGTGTGTGTGTGTGTGTCTGTTATTTACTCAACAATAACACACACTTATCCTTGTTTTTATTTATTCGCTTAGTTCCATAATCTCGGGCTTTTTAGTCGTTCCTCAGGAACTGAATTTCAAAATAAAGTCACCGGAAATAGACGTAGGCCTATAAGGGACAGTTCGAGCATCATTGCGATACACACCACTAACCCACTGAACTGATTACCCAAGATCCTCAGCTAGAAGCTCGGTGATTGGATTGTTTAGCCGCAATGCACTTTGGGATATGGTGTTTATGCAATATGAAATCCACATTTGTTTTTGTTGAAAATAATACTTTATTCCGAGTGCTCTTGCTTTTCTCTTTGAAAGTCATCACATAACGGCATTGTAATACACGGTTCGGCTGCATTAAATATTACAGATCTGCCGTAGTTCTCTATTTATAGAGCCCTGATGAGAAGACTTCTGGACAAACATGAAGAACTGCCGCCAAAACTGAAAACATGACGAGGATCATAAATATATCAGCCATTAAACAACATCTTCAATTTCTCTTCACACGTCTCCTTGCAGTATCAATACTAATTCGGCTGACTTTTATATTTGATCCAATTGATAGATAGGTTATATTTACACCATAACGGTGCACAGCTGATATAAAAGGACTTGTAGTTTTTAAAGATATTACTGATTTTCTTTGAAAGAATAATGTAAATACTGAGTTGAGAGAATAGTCAGGGGTTTTGGGTAATGGGAGATACATCTATGGAATCACAATTTCAATAGCTTACCATTAAATGACGGATATACCTTTCTGTCTGTGATGTTTTACAAATCAGATATTAGAAGTAAAACATGTGAAATAGTATAGCAATATCCTGTAAAATTATGTGCAAAAAAAGGAATAAAACTACACATCTTCAGATGTTATACATACACAAGTGTCCTACACTAATAATACAAAGTTATTATGGCTGTGTGTACCTTGTGTGCACCGCCTAGTGGTTAAAACACGTTATTGAATTAGTTGTGTATATGATAAGTCAACATATTAGAACATCTTGAAATCTTGAAAGGGATGTGCAAAATAGCCATTACAGTTTTTAATTAACTATTAGTAGAGAATAACGAGTAATGAATATACTTGATAGGGATCTGCAGATAAATGTTTAGTCTTCTCAAGCACCCACTATCAAATATCTCTCCTGATTGTTGGCACTTGACAATCACCTTCCCTGAATTTTACTCAGGTGATTTAAGGGTTGTTTAACTAAAATAAATGTAGTGGAGTAAAAATAACAGGTTAACCTCTGAATTGTAGTGGAGTAGAATTACAAAGTAACAATGAGCTGTCATGTGGGTATATATTAATGCTGCCCATTATGGATACAAGCGATTTTCACCCATTTAGTAATTACATGTTTTACATTTGATAACACCAATGTGTTTCCTATCCCCTAAACCTCCAGGGCTGAACACAGTTTAATACTGTCAACTTCTAATTTTGGGAAAAACGAAAACGTCTTTTAAAACTACAATTCCCAGTAGAGACGTGCCATAGAGCAGTGGTTCCCAAACTTGTTGTGCCCAAGGCACACCAAAGGACAAGTAAAAATCTCAAGGCACACCTATTGTGCAAAATAGCCCTTATAACACGTGTTATCACTCATATCATGTAAAATATCTGTAAATGTGCATAATTATTTACTAATGCCAAATAAAATGTGACAAAGACAACTATATTACTCATGAAATATTTATTAACGAAATATTTCAGAAATTAATTTGAAACTTTACCAAATTAGGCTTCATCAAAGCAGCAACACACTCATTTAAACCAGACAGGTCACAACATTAAAAATGAGGCAAAGGAAACTCAAGAGAAATTCAGCACAGAGAACTGTCAATGCAAGGAAGCTGCATTGCATGGTCCTGAACTACACATTATAAATGTAACATTTCAGCAATCAGCATTGAAACATGTGCTATTGTAAATATTTTTGCCGACTTACAAATTAGTGAGATACATGTGCCTGTCGGGGCGCGCAGAATGTTTTAATCCTTGGTGGCACTGAGGAGAGGGCCACTCGCAAGTCCTGTTCAACAGAGAGCCGTGACCTCCTGTTGTTCTTCATGTAAATCAGAGTAGAGAACGCCAACTCCAGAGATGGGGTCGTTATATATTACATATTACTTTTTTTTAAAAAGTAATATATTACACTACTTCGTTACTATCTACATAAAGTAACTCGTTACTTTACGCGTTACTTTACTCGAGCACGTACGAACTGCGCATGCGTGAGTGGCAATAACTTTCCTTACCAGCAGGCGGCGGTAGTGTGTATTTGTCATTCAAAACAGGCAACAACCGGAAGACAGAGAAGAAGAACAGACTACGTGATATAAACAAACAACAAATAGCGTGTGCGGTAGCTTCACCTTAGCATGCATTCTTTGCAGGTGTTGTTGAGGTTTGACCACGTGGTGTTTCCAGCAGTGGATAACAGCTTCTGGCCTGGACACAGTTTGCACCTCACCGTCACATTCCTGTCTATTCTTCGGACGAACTCAAAATAATGGGCATACCTCCACCCCTCGAAAGTTATCGCTGACTCAGCATGAAATGCAGCACTGCACGTTGAGATGTGGACGTGCAAATCGCGCAGATTACGTACATATAAACCTACAAAGTACTGATATAGCACATTTTTAAATAATTATTTTTGTGTAGTTGTATATTGCAATAATAACGTATGGTTGTCACAAAATCCCACGGCACACCCGAACTTGCCTCACGGCACACCAGTGTGCCGTGAGGCACAGCCATAGAGAACATTTTGCGAAACACAATAGCCAGCATGTGTAGTTCTGGGGGGCGTTCAAGTCCAGTTTTGGATAGTCTGCCGTGGTTTCGTTCCATTTCAAAGAGCTTGGCGCTCGGCGTAACCTTGGCACATTGCCCCTCCAACATCCAATCCCAGAGCTTGAAGATTAATCACGGGGACTGTAGTCCCAAACGATAGCTGGGGATTATGGGTAGTGTAGTGTCTTCGGCCATCCTAAACTCCGAAATATTTTTCGGATTTCGTATC